CACTAGACGTTTCTAAAAATATTGTGTAACAAAACTGTCTATGAACATGGGCTATGCTTAGAAGATACATAAGATAACATACAAATTAATAATTTAATGACAAGAACAATGTTTACGAAGTACATTGTTATAATATGAACCACAAAATAAATAAGGGTTAATGACATTTTGACAGTATGCACACTACTAAAGAGCTCCTCAACAAACTTGACCTCTCACCTCCATATGAAAGTTTGTAGTACATGAAAGTCATGATTCCTACACCAACCCACATCTCCTGGTATGCTTTGGTGTAGTAGGGGGCCACCTTAGTCCACCAGCCAGCGAATGCACCGCCTGCCATCTAGTGATCAAAACAAGGATGCATGAACATTTGTCTAAAAGGCTTCAAAAACATGTAACATTACCATACATATGTTTGAACGTGCAAATGCTATGAGCCACGTTATAAGAATGACCCATAGGGTAACACGACACAAACAGCACTTTCAAGGACATTAATCATATATTCATAGACCAGCTCGAGAAAAATGAACACTATTAGACTTTAATATACGGAGTCATTAAGATGGTGACAAAAAAGGGCAAAAACACTCAGTATTCAGTTCAGTTTAAAGATAACGCGTCACTTGAATGGCAAAAGGAACAACAGCTCTTTTCAACGTCTAACGTTAATACAGAAATAAAATTATCGTAGAGATTATGAAAAACATTCCGCGGTTCACGTGTGCCATTCAAGTGTCAAGCTTGGGCCATTATTAACCAATGTTGATTCATTTAAGGCGCTCGGCAAGGCCTTATATGGTCCAATAACCGAAACAAATACGTTAATGTTTTAAACGACAGGGAATCTTCTTGAAATGGTCAGTGCTAAATTAAAATATGCCAACTGAAAACATATACATTTATTATAAGAAAACGTACTCACCTCAAGTATATAAGTGCACTGGACCACTCGGAGAAGGTCACTCACTGTTCAGCGAGAGCTCAGTAGGGGAGACAGCGGAAGATCTTCTTCTTCTTCTTTTTTGGTGTTTATTGGCGGTTGGCAACCTAACTGACTGGTGCATTACCGCCACCGACTGGAATAAAGTATGGATCCGGATTTTGCTTGTAGGACAAAATAAACCATAAAAACCAATCAAAACAAATAAATAAACTAGAAATAAAAAAATTAAAAAACAATCAAAAAGACTATATTCTTTTATACGAGTCGATTTAACCAAATCATGGTGACAAAAAATCCCAATGACTTGATTCCGTACTATAATCCCCTGTCTTGGTTTTGGGTTTTCTTCTTCTTCTTTAGATTGATGGCTGACAACCAATTTTAAAAGTGCATTATCGCCACATACCAGACTGGAGTGTGGAGCAGTATATGACAAACAAGGGAACTAATTATATTCTTTCCATCAATCCTGTATTTTTTTTAGGTAAATCATGAGATGTTTGACCACATTCCAAGTACTTCCTTCTAAAAGCTTCTGAACATTAACATTTACAATGTCTTTCTTTAGCATTTGAAACATTTCCCTTCTTTCCTCCTCATATTTCCTACATTCCAATAAGACATGTAACACTGATTCCGTTACCTCACAATTTTCCACAATTCCACAATATTCACAATTTGCCTATTTTGAATATTGTCTGATTCAGTCCAGTATGTCCTATTCTAAGCCGAGTGAACAAAACCTCTTCTTTTCGGTTTCTGCCCCTCATTCTGCCAACACCGACTTTTTCCTGAATATTATAAAGATGTCGACCCGTATCGTTTATATCCCAGTATTGTTGCCATTTATCCGTCATTCGAGATTTTATAATACTCTTTCCCTCAGTTCTACTTAATGGGACATTTAAATCCACAGTTTGTCTTTTCAATGACAATTTAGCCAGCTTATCAACAGCTTCATTTTCCTCAACTCCTACATGAGCAGGAACCCAAACAAAGCCAACGTTCAAGCCCTTCTCATGTAAACAGAATATGTTTTGATGAATTTCATTAATGACATCTAATCTGCATGATTTCATAGTTTTAATGCTTAAAAGAGCAGACCAGCTGTCCGATGCAATTATTGCATTATTCACATGATTGACAGCGGAAGATCTCTGTAGATTTCCGCATTGTAATTAAAAGCACCGGCACCAAAATAAAAGTTCGTGTATGAAAAAATTTTTTTTTTGTAACGCTTACATTTTTCGTTGTCCTTATTGTCTCTTCTTTAGACATACTTAAAATCGGATTTTCAATTGGATGAAAATTTAATTAAATTATAATGTTAGGAGATTTTATAATACTCTTTCCCTCAGTTCTACTTAATGGGACATTTAAATCCACAGTTTGTCTTTTCAATGACAATTTAGCCAGCTTATCAACAGCTTCATTTTCCTCAACTCCTACATGAGCAGGAACCCAAACAAAGCCAACGTTCAAGCCCTTCTCATGTAAACAGAATATGTTTTGATGAATTTCATTAATGACATCTAATCTGCATGATTTCACAGTTTTAATGCTTAAAAGAGCAGACCAGCTGTCCGATGCAATTATTGCATTATTCACATGATTGACAGCGGAAGATCTCTGTAGATTTCCGCATTGTAATTAAAAGCACCGGCACCAAAATAAAAGTTCGTGTGTGAAAAAAAAATTTTTTTTGTAACGCTTACATTTTTCGTTGTCCTTATTGTCTCTTCTTTAGACATACTTAAAATCGGATTTTCAATTGGATGAAAATTTAATTAAATTATAATGTTAGCACCACACGACACAGACAGACAGACAGACAGATAGATACCTGGTCTGAAAAACAAGAAAAAAAAAAGTATCTTATAAAAGTTGACTTGGCAACACTGGTGTGAGAAATAACTATAAAAATACAAATTAAATTTTGTTAATTTAATTGTGCAGACATTTCACTGACAAAGGACATGAGGATAACAATAAAGCAGGCTCCACAGAAGCAAATAAATAAAATGAAGCATGTTACACAAAAGTATCAGTATTGTTTCTTTTTCTTTCTGTAGAAGAGGCAACAACAAAAGTATACACAGAAAATGTGATGACAATATTTATACAATATACTACATTTGATTTTGCATCTACAGGCTTTTGTGGTAATAAACACAGCATCCACTCTAGAGAACTTCACGTTGTCTGACCCAACACTTATTCAGCAGTCAAAAGTAATTGTCACATGTTTGCTTTTACCCTGTTTAACACTACTGTGAGATGGAAGCTTTATGAACAGCTCACTGTGAGCAACTACCAAAACTGTACTTTGTCTGCCACCTTCAGGCCATGCTAAATAACAAACACAGTTCTGTCACTATATGATAAAAGACAAGAAAAGATTGCAACTGTGATCTAAAAAGCATGGGAGAGGTGAGAGTGCTACTGTAGGTAGTTCATGGGTACATGCAGCAAGCAGGACCACTGATGCGCAAAGGCATTGGTGCAATCCTCTCCCCTCAGGCTAATCTCTGCTCTGTAATCCAGAAATATAACGCTGACAAAATGACAGATTAGGTTGGATATCTGGGTTGACTGCTCTGGGTGTATGTGCTTATGTGTGTGTACTATTTTCAGTTTGACCATTAGCTGTAGACCCTGGAAAGCTACAACACAAAGAAAAGGTGTTATTGTAATTAGAAACAAATGCACACAAATGCAAAGGCAGTTCTAAAGTTAGACAGTAACATTAAAGTGAAGCATGTTACACAAAAGTATCAGTATTGTTTCTTTTTCTTTCTGTAGAAGAGGCAACAACAAAAGTATACACAGAAAATGTGATGACAATATTTATACAATATACTACATTTGATTTTGCATCTACAGGCTTTTGTGGTAATAAACACAGCATCCACTCTAGAGAACTTCACGTTGTCTGACCCAACACTTATTCAGCAGTCAAAAGTAATTGTCACATGTTTGCTTTTACCCTGTTTAACACTACTGTGAGATGGAAGCTTTATGAACAGCTCACTGTGAGCAACTACCAAAACTGTACTTTGTCTGCCACCTTCAGGCCATGCTAAATAACAAACACAGTTCTGTCACTATATGATAAAAGACAAGAAAAGATTGCAACTGTGATCTAAAAAGCATGGGAGAGGTGAGAGTGCTACTGTAGGTAGTTCATGGGTACATGCAGCAAGCAGGACCACTGATGCGCAAAGGCATTGGTGCAATCCTCTCCCCTCAGGCTAATCTCTGCTCTGTAATCCAGAAATATAACGCTGACAAAATGACAGATTAGGTTGGATATCTGGGTTGACTGCTCTGGGTGTATGTGCTTATGTGTGTGTACTATTTTCAGTTTGACCATTAGCTGTAGACCCTGGAAAGCTACAACACAAAGAAAAGGTGTTATTGTAATTAGAAACAAATGCACACAAATGCAAAGGCAGTTCTAAAGTTAGACAGTAACGTTAAAGTAATAGCTCTAAGAACATTAAATGATCAGAATGAAAATGCTGTAATTATTTACTCACCCTCATGTCATACCTATATGCTTTTTGATGCTTTAATTTTGTCCATAAAACACAAGTTTTTTGAATATGCACTTGGCAAAAATTCGTCAAGTTTCAAATTTTTATAAAGCAATATAAAAGCATAAAAAGTAGTCTGACTATAAATAGACACAATTTAAATAATAATAATAATAATAATAATACATTTATATAATTATAAACTATTTATTTTAAATAATTGTTGATTTTTTTTTAATTGAAAAAAAAAAAAATCAACTCCCCCA